CGCCCTCGGTGAGCACCGAGCCGGAGGTCAGCTCCAGCCAGCAGCAGCCCCACGCTGCCCCTGCCGCCACCCCCGAGGCGGCGGCACAGTCGATGCCAGGTAGGATGCTGGGTGGGAGTTGAGGGGCATCGTCATTTTGGGGTGGCCCCCCAGGCATGCCTTGGTGAGGGGGCAGCCAGGGAGGAGGTGCTGCATTGCGCGAGGGTGCCCTGGTCCCGCCAGCTCGTAAGTCTGTAGATAGAGAAACCTTCCTGGCTTGGAAGAGGATTTGGAAGACCTCAACTCAGCAAAGGCCAGGAGCACCCCCCATGAGAAAGTGTACCGCTGCCATAGGGAAAGGGCTCTTTTAGGACAGGTTTTGAGGTCCATTTTGGGTGCAGTTGTGTCATGGGGGAGGGCATGCAGCCGCCTTGCTGTGTGCACGGGGTGGGGAGGACACGAAACCCAGCCGTGCACTCTTTCGATGAACCAGAAAGAAGTGGTCTCAGCCAGTGGAGCCTGGAGTTGGGGGTCGGGTGTTGCCTTCACCCTATCAGAAGAGTGATGTTTGACATGGAGAGGCAAAGGAGGGCACAAAGAGAGTACCTGGAGAGAGGTTTGTGCTTCTATAAAACTTTATTAAATGGTTTCCCTGACCTGTAAATCAAAGCAGCCTGCAGAGACGAGAAGGACAACTACAACCTTAACCATGAAATTGATAACACTTAAACTTTAATCCAAGGGGAAGAAAAATATTTTTTTCCCTGTTCTCAGTGGAAGTTCTCACATACCATGTCCTTCATTTTTTTCATCTCCCACTGCTGCCAAAGCACCGAGAATTGGCACAAACAGATCAACATTATCAGATAAAGAGCATATGAAAACAGTGTGCTTCTGCTGAAGGATTATCCCATGTGCAGAAAAACTCAGTGCTGGCTGTAGATCTTCTGAAGGCGGAGGAAATCTGTTTCTTGAGCAGACTCACCAGCTCCCTCAGGACCTGAGTGCAGACAGTGCTGCCTTTGCTCTTCCAGCTGGTGAGTGGTGCCATACCAGGAGGAAGCAAAGGCAGGAGCAAGTTCTCCATCTGCTCCCTTGCTGGTTCAGCCTAGGAGTGTCTGGTCAGACAGAGCAGAGCCAAACAGTGGAGGGGGGAAAATAATTGCCTATATGCAGTCCCTGTGGCAGCTACTGTAAGCGCTAAAAACAATTACTTTAACAGCCTGGATGATACTTCAACCTGGACACCCTGAAACCTGATTGAATGCTAGTAAATCTATTCATTGGCAAGAGCCTGCAGATCTTGTTGCCAAATAAAACAATGGGCAAAGTTAAATACCCAGTTTTGCTAAGTAAAACCCAACTAAGCATTAGAAATTAGAAAGGATGATAATTGTATTCTTTGGGACCCATTTCTGCATGGCTGCATGTTTGAGATGTTATTTTGCAGTAGTCCTGTCATGTAACATCCCTTGTGGAAATTCCTTTACAAAACTCCAACTGGTTTAGAACTGACTGCTCAGCAAAATATGAGATATGGGATGCCCGATGTCAATCTGAATTGTGCGGTAAACCTAGTTATTCTGCATTCCTCAGTTTACAGCGTATCACTGCTGTGTATACTAGAGCCGGTTCCTACCAACCTGTCCCTGCAACTTGCTCAGTCTCAAACTTGCAAGCTGGGACAGTGGAATACAAACCTAGGCAGAATTTGTCCATGTAGGTGTGTGTTATCTGGGAGAGTGATTTGCTTTCAACAGATTCATTAAAAAACCCAAACCCTTTCAAACTGCTTTTGCCAGGTCCTCAGAAGCCAAACAAGGTCAGCAGTTGTTACTGCTTAGGGTTCAACCTTACAAGAATGGACACAACGCCACATTTTCACATTTACATAGTTTCCAGAGCAGGGTTGGTCTATGTCTAGTGTCTCACTGTGAGGACAAAGTGGGATTGCATCTGGATTTACATTCACTGTGTAAATAAACCCGCAAAACCTCCTAGCGCTTCTCGCATAGACAGCAATGTTATCTCAGTGTGCTGTCCAAATTCCAGTTCAGTCAGTTATGTTCTCAGTGCTTAAATTTCTTGTGTTGTTCTCAAAAAGTGTTACACAGTTTCTCACCCTGGAATAGTGCTGTAATATGCTGTTACTGTACTCAGAGGTAGCTGCATTTTAACTAGGGTAAAATGATTGACATACGACTAAAACTTGATACTCACGTCAGTGAAGTCTCCGATTTCCATAGAGCCTGCTCCTTTGAGGAAGAAGTGCTGGCATTAATAAATCTTAGAGTTGCAGAGAAGTGGGCAATGTTGGCAAGTGCATTTATTACAGATGTGTAGTTCTGCACAGCAGATTCTTGCAGATAAAATGTGGAGGTCTGATTAAAGACTAGAGTAGGGTGATTGCTCATGTACAGTGATTTTGTTAGGTTGTCTCTTAACAAAGAGCAATGTACTGGAAGTGGTGCACGATATATAGACTTTGAGCAACATTGAACTACAAGAGGACGTTTATCTATCCTGTGTAAAAATGTTTCTGTCCTAAACAGGCAGAAACAAGGATGAGTATTATTCTTATGTAAAAAAAAAGGCAGGAAATAATTATACCAAGGAGCCTAGAGCTTTTGTTAGTTTATAGACTTGGTGGATGCTTGACAAACAAAGGTACAGTTGAAAGTGAGCAGGGAATTTAAATTCTGCCTTGTCCCCTACAAAGTGTTGCTTAATTTTAAAATAATATGTGAAGCCTTGCTCCTGGTCCTGTTAGAACTGGTCATATGTTTATGAGGTCTTTGCAGGACTAAGGCCTTAAATGGTAAGTTATGATTAAAGGGTGCAATCCAACCAGCAAGAAATACTACTTTGAGTTTTAGCTTAAGTCACATATCTTTGCATTTGTATCAGACACAGCTGATAGTTTCCATGCATGGTAATCTCCTAGGTCCTGAAAGTTTGAGTGAGATTTTCCATGATATCAAAAACATTGATGATACATGTTAGCTTAGGCCAGTTTAAGCCACATTATACTTTTGGACTAGTTTCTCTTTCAAACGTTTCTTTTTTTTTTCCCTCTTTTACTCTTTTTAATTAAACCATGGCAACTCAGTGTGTAAGCAGGGACTTTACAAAGGTATTTTTGCATCTTAAAAGTGAAGTGGCGTCCCAATAAAGGTTAGACACTGATTTCTGTTGGGTTCAGGTCTCCATCTAAGCATTGTGGAACATACTGAATTATACCGAATTATTTTTGTTAAACTTCAGCCCTAATAAGTGGACATTCATCTGTGAATTTTCAGATTGTTCTTTACCACTTTATTAGCAAAGCCTTCAAGAATATATGTAGGTATTATTTAGTCCTTTCTTTCTTGTGGAAAAAATGAGAGGACCTACAGCTGATAGGAGAGAGATTTTTGCCATGGTGGAGAGCAGGGAATTTCTGCAATTTCTACTTCCCAAACAGCCTCTTTTGTCTTTTGCTTTTGCTAATACTTGGTCATTTTTTATGTCCAAGAACGAGCAAGGGCAAGGTAGGTCACATCAGTGAAGACGGAAGGTGAGTAAGAAACGTGACGCTTTAGGTTGCAGTACATGCAGCCTAGAGAAATTAGTGATATTTGGATGTCTGAAATCATGAGTGGAAAAGAGTTGGTGTTATTGCACAGGGGTATGGAGGAAGACTACAGCTCAGAGGAGGATAGAGCTTATTGGGTAGGAAGGCAAGTTTTGATCCTCAGCGAGATAGGACTGACTTCGTAAGCAGAATTGCTGAAGTATTTATGAAGAATACTCACTTTCCACCTGAAGACTGAGGATGAAGTTGTGCTTTGGATTAACAAGACAGTGCAGCAAGACATCTCTGGTCCAACACTGGTCCAACACTGTAAATACAGGAGCAAAGACTTCCATGAGGATACACTAAAAAGATGTCAAATCCATATGTACAAAATGTGCAGAATGGAAAGAGTAGTGAGTAGACATGCAAAATAAAAGATCTTGTAAATGAAGTGAGTAGGGTTGTTGCTTCTGTCAGAGATGTGGCAAATCATATTCTGTGGGTACAATCACAGTGCCGTCATGCATATCCATCGCTGAACTCGCCGGGCTGCCGGATGATGTTTTACATGTACAGGTTTTTGCAGAGTTTGGAAGGAAAGCAGGTTGTCCATTAGCACCACTGCTTTCTTAGTCAGTGTGCCGCATGCTGTCCCTCTGCCGTGGTTATCAAATGGTATCAGCAGTTGAACGCGTGCCGTGATGGATGGTGCCCTGGTCTGTGCTGAGGACTGTACTTAGCCTTGCTGACTCTGATGTCTCCACTCTGAGCTCCTCCCTGTGCTTTTCTTTCCTGTAGCTGGTATGTCAGGATCCCAGATCAGTGCCTGGTGATCAGCTTAGCCTGGTGACTTGGGCAAAGATCTAGTTCTGGTCCTGTGCTCTCATCACGGGAAGGTGCGAGCAGGGATTGCAGCCTTTCGTGATTGGCACCTAAAGTGGGTTGACTCTCGCTCTGCTCACAGTGTGGACATCCCTGTCGGTTCCGGGTGTTCATATAGTGTCTCTATCTGAACATGACCGTTATAAAATGCAGTTCATCTGGGGGTTGTCTGGTGTTGATGTAGAGCTTTTAGGTGGAATATTTTTGGGTATTTTTCTGCAATCAAAAGAACTAGGACCTCTCCCTTCCCTTCCCCCCTCTCTGCAATTGTGTGAGTTTAAATTAAGTGGGAGCTGAGATCCTCGTGTGATCATAAGACTCATGGATTAGGAGCTGTTAGATGAGCATCAAAATGTTACAGGACTTAGAGGACAAAGAAGTCCCCCACAACTCATGAACTGCCGGTTTTGACTAGGTTTAGCTTAAACTCGTAAATCACTGTTTATATTGAAAGGAAAAAAAATGTGTGAGCTAGCACATTCCAAAAAAGTACAAACAAGAAAAAATAATACCTTTTTTAAGAGGTATATAAAGCATCAGCCATACATACAGAAAGGCCAAATTAATCCCTGCTGTAATTCTTCCAAGTCCAGTGGAACTGTGCCAAGAATGAATGTAATACAAGGCAAACAGTCATGTCAAAAGAAAGTTACAAAACTTTAAGCTCTTCCAAGAACACTCA